TACCATCTGGCTCTGTCACCTTCAATGAGATCACATCTCTTCAACCTCAGTCTTCATGTTTGTAAAATGAGGAAAATAAGAGTGCTTCCATCGTAGCGTTGCTGTAAGGATTAGATGGGATGAGATCCAGAACTCCTAGCCCATGTGGTGTACAGTAATTGCTCAATAAACATAGCTTCTTAATCAGAGTGCTTGCCTTAGACTGCGCTAGGCATTTTTCCTCTGGTATCTGAGGAGAAAGTCACACAGTCATACTAAATGGTAGAAGTTGTTAGCCACAAATTACAGAGGAGGAAATCGAAGTTCAGAAGAGTTAAATAATGTTCTCCACATTACACAAGCAGTCAGTGACAGAGCTAGGATTGGAAACCACATCTTCCTGCCTCCAGGGTCTCCTTCTGCCATGCCCCCTGCCTCCTGGAATGGAGAGCCCTCCTCACTGCCCACAGCAGGCTGGGCTCAGCAGGGGATTCTAAAAGACCATGAGAGAGGCAAGACGTGTCACCCATATCCACCGAAAGCTGTTCTGCTTACAAACAGGTTGGGTTCTAAAGAACTACTGGTAGTTCATTTGTTTGAAAAGTTCGAAGTTATATTCTAGTAGCTACCGTTCATGCTGCCTCTTGGTGGCAGGAAGAATTACCATGCTTTCCCCCGATGGATGGCTTTGTTTGCAACCATGAAAATTCTTAACCTGAAAATTTATGAGTAGAGGACCATGCAAGGCAGAGCTGAGCAGTAAAGGGTCCTGAAAGAGGTAGGGACACTACACCATGCACAGTCGGAGGAGAGAGAGTCACGGCCAGTAACAGGGTTCAGTGGGATCATCAGTAGCTTCCTGTGGTGGTGGCGGTGACGGTGGTGGTGGAAGTAGCATTCAAGATGGGCCTCGAAGGAAGGGAAACATGTTGCAAAAGTGGAGGTGGCAGGAAAGAGAGCAGCTACAGGGTGCATTCCAGGTGCATAACACTGAAGCTGAGCTCTGTGGAGGGAGGAGATAATGAAAAAAATCCTCCAACTGATTCTTCATGTCTTTTAATGCCTTTGATTGTGTTACATGAAGGCAGGTCAGAGAGTCTAAGAGGCAGATACCCTATTTGCCAACAAAAATACTTCTAAGCATCTTTGTCTTTCCTCCATCTGTAGGGGAGCTTCCAGCACCCGGGTGCTTGCAGTTCTCCTGTCTGTACCTGCACTTCCCAGTAGGGAATCCACTGCCACATATGGCTTGAAACGTGGTCCTCCTGACGTGTGCTGTCAATGTGAGACACACACTGGATTTTGAAGACATAGTAAGAAAGGAAAATATCTCAATTTTGGGTATTGATTACATGTTGAAATGGTATTTTGGATAGATTGGATTAAAAGTAAAATATTAAAATTAAGTTCACCTGCTTTTGACCTTTGTAATGTGGCTACTAGAAAATTTAAAATGACATGTGTGGGGCTTTCCCTGGTGGCATAGTGGTTGAGAGTCCGCCTGCCGATGCAGGGGACACGGGTTCGTGCCCCGGTCCGGGAAGACCCCACATGCCACAGAGCGGCTGGGCCCGTGAGCCATGGCCGCTGAGGCTGCGCGTCCGGAGCCTGTGCTCCGCAACAGGAGAGGCCACAACAGTGAGAGGCCCACGTACCGCAAAAAAAACCCCAAAAAACAAAAAACAACAAAATGACACATGTGGTTCTCATTCATGGCTCACCTTCTGTTTCTATTGGATGGTGCTATTCTGGAGGGACTTGTTATATACTTAAAGTTCTATCATCCATTCTAGGGTCATCTGAGTCCTAGATGGCTTTGAGCTGGGTGCACCTCAGGAAACATACTTGGTCATTCAGATGTGATGGAGACCTAGGTTCTCTCTATGGCTAGGTTACATACATGGTTCTCTGAGCTTCAGATACTTCATCTGTGTAGTGGGGACGTTAGATCAGATATTTTCCATGGCCCCTTTCAATTAAAAAATTCTATGATTCTAGCTTGCTGTCAACTATTAACTTTTTCTGGGTTCCATTGAAAGGTCTCTACTGCTCCCTTTACCAAATGTCAGAAAAAGTCCAGATTATTTCCTCTTACTTGTGGTCCTTTAGTAATTCTTGGAGTGGAAAGACTTCAGAGTTTTGATAGATTAAGGACACCTTCTTACTCTCCTTCTCTTCTCTGTCTGTTGGCCCATCTTGGCTTGTTTCAGTGTGCTCCTGAACAAGGTGGCCCACCAGCTTCTTTAAAATGGTAGAAGCATCAGAGAGCTGGGAGACGAGGTCTCTCCTTTCTTTGGTTCATGACTGTTAAGACTGCTTTTGAATACCCCATGCACGGTGATCCCATAAACTTTATTTAGACACTGTCTAGGTCCATAAAAACTGAGAATCTGATCTGTATTTTCCCTTTTGGCTCTACTAATGTTAGAACAAATCAGTCATGTCTTTGTAAATACCTTTTCTTTCAGCAGTTCATCCTCTTATACACTGTCCATCTGCTATTAAATAAAATATATCAGGTATTGGGCTAGTTTCCAGAACACAGAAGTAGAAGACTTGGTCTTTATCCTTGAGGAACTCCTGGATAAAGGGGTTCCACCTTTAAACTTCACCAACAAGGTGAATACATGGTGCTTTCTGTCTTGAGAGGGACATTCAAGCTGGGGTGGGCACAGGTGAGGAAAGAGGGTGGCGCCATGAGCACACTAGGCGATGAAAAGTTGACTTTCAGTTGAGAGTTTTTGATGTTTCAAAGTGAGACAAGGTCTTAGTTAACTACCAACACGTCAAATGAATAAAATCTGCCCTATAAATATATATTATATGTAATTCCATTTAATGGAACATCAATGTCTGGATGCAACTGTGTTGCTATACTGAAATCCCCTCTTATAATACCAGTTGCAATGTAGTTTCTTGCCATTTAATTTATTTTTCTTTTGGAATGAGCCTTTTACAATATGTTACATTTTTTAAAAGTAACAATATAGAAAGGGGGTTATATAAAAGCAAAGTTTTACTGGTTTAAAAAAGGGCACTAGAAGGCTTCCCTGGTGGCGCAGTGGTTGAGAGTCCACCTGCTGATGCAGGGGACACGGGTTCGTGCCCCGGTCCGGGAAGATCCCACACGCCGCGGAGCGGCTGGGCCCGTGAGCCATGGCCCCTGAGCCTGCGCGTCCGGAGCCTGTGCTCCGCAACGGGAGAGGCCACAACAGTGAGAGGCCCGTGTACCACAAAAAAAAAAAAAAAAAAGGGCACTAGAGAGGGAAAATACTGTTAGGCCTGTGGAGTCCACTTTATTGCAAGTGCCTGAATCTAAGTTACCCTTAATAAAGTCTTGATTTCTCTCTCAGAGTATGGGTGAATAAAATATATCTGCAGAGGTATTTTTGAGTAACCAGCACTTCTTGGCTTTTAATTTGAGGTTTGTGGGAACCCTAACCTGATACACAAATCTACAAGTGAAATGAAAATAGGGATAAACTTGTTCATATGCAGCTCTACCCGTACGAACCATGCAGGTGTTGACCATTTTCCCTGGTGGGGACAGGTGACAGGGCTGTGGTTGGAGGTTGAAGAGAGGCACACAGCAATAACAGTGGTGGCAGCAATATTTATGTAGAGGGTTGAACTTATTAACAACGGGAGCAGCACGCTAACTGTTGCCTAGAAACCAGCTTTTGAGTGGAGCAGTGATGAGTTCTCTGTATGTCTGTTTCTCTTTTCTCTGATGTGCTGCCCCAGAATACTGTGTATCTTAGTTTCTGTAATCAGAATCAGTTTAGTGTAAAAAAATTTTTAAAAATTCTATGCCATTTCTGGATATAACTAAGTTGGAGATCACTAACATGGAGTTTTGTTGATGTGCTGGTGTGTGATGATTAGAGGTACCCTAGCTGGTTTGCAAGGATTGTATGTGGGCATTTAAATAATTGATACACTACTTTGTTTTGGACAGCTCAAGTAGCTGCCCTTTATTCACCTGCAAGTAGAATAATAAGGTCATTTATTACCGTGCATGTAAAATGGAAAAACTCACTATAAATTATAACTTCAAATTATTATCTATCATCTCCCTGCATAATGAGGCATAAAGTTTATTTAATCATTCATTCATATGTTCAGTATTCGTTTAATAAATGTTTATTGAATGCCTACTCTGTGCCAGGCAGGATATGAGAGGTACCAGGGATGTAGCAGTGAACAAGATAGAAAAAGGTTCTGAGCTTGATAGATGAGACAGATAATAAACTCAGCAACAAATGTGCCAATTACAGATAAGAGTAAGTGATGGGAAAGGCATCCACGTGATGAGAGAAACTCTGTTTGAGAGGTGAGGGCGTGGAGGGCTGTATTTTAGGTAAAGATGATCAGCGGAAGCCTAAGTGAAGTGAGACCTGAAAGAATAAAGGAGCCAGACTTTCAATGTAAAAATGGTTTCACATAGTCAATGGTGTTTAGTATACTCAGAACTGAGGTGGTTCTGCTAGGTATGATGCCACTTGTGTGCGAGGGTGATATTCTGAATTGACCCAGGAACTAATGAGGAAAGACAGTAGCCTGGCCCTGGAGCACAGCCTTGGAGCCCCCATTAAGGCAGGTGTTAAGCCCTTAATTGCTGGGTGATTGGGAGGGAGGGCCTCAGGGGAGGGACTAGGTTGGCACTCAGATGCTTGGGGGCCACAACCATTCACCTATTATGGTATGGAAGTATTTCAGTATTTAAACAAGCAGCATGGCGCGTGTGATGGCTGGTCATCAGCCAGGCTTGTGCATAATTTTATGGTTCAAGGAATTTTGACAATTAACCAATTGCAGTTACAGATCATTTAAGAAATTCTGGCCGCCTCACATAGTTCAGTAGAGAAAAGGAAGGGTTAAACTGCTGTTTTCAATGCCGACAGTCATGATTTTATACTCTGGGTCACATTTTGAGGAGGTAGCAAACTGAATGTATTCTTCCCAAGAAGGTAACTAACCTAACATTCCTTTTTTTTTTTTCTTTTTTTTAAATTAGGCGGCATCACTGTCCACACCTCCCTACCAAGATCTATGATAAAACAGAGAAACCATGTCTTTTCTCCGAATATACCAAGAACTACCCTCTCTATCACTCTTACCTGCCCAGAGAGTCCTTCAAGCCCAAGCTGGAGTACCGGAAAGGGTGCGCACCAATGGAAGGCCTGACCACTTCTAGGTGAGGGCAACAGTGTGAACGTATAAATGCACACCACTAATGGAGTAACGTACAGCATTAACCTAACGTTCAAATTGCATTGACGTGCACTATCAATACATGCTATTAATGCTTGAATGTTAATTTACTGTATCTCTGAAAGAAAATCCTGCATTTATTAGCCTGTTTAGTTTTCCCTAGCCCCCTCTTAAAGAGAAAGGATTCTTACTTGGGGCTGGGGCGGGGGAAGGGGGAGCCGTGGGGTGGGAATTGTAAATTGATCTACATCAAAAGGGTGGGAGGTTAAGTATGAAAGGAAAATAATAACTAGAAAGAGGGTGGCTGCTGCAGTAAAAGGAGCTTTGGGCTTCTGCACAGAAGCTCTAGGTCGGCTTGGGTGGTGGTAGTGATGTCGGTCGTGGTGAAAGAGAACTTGAGCTTTTTTGAAATTATGCTATAGAGTTTGAGTTGGGGTCCCCTTGAACATTCTTCAGGAATATGAACAAAGAATATTTCCTTTTACATTACCCTTGACTTAGCAACTCTGATTCTTGAGCTCCAGCTCTGTGAGGAGACTGAACCCCGTGGCTCAGCGTGTCTGGCCTGCAGAGGTATCTGTACTGAGCGGGTGGGGACACATGATCAGTCTCAGGGTTGTTCCACATGTTGCAGGGCTCTAACAGAATCTGCTGTTGACAGCTCAGTTAGTGATCTCCAGGTGATGACCTGTGACTGGTGACCCAGAGGAGTAGAAACATCTTTGAGTCAGTTGGGCAGTGTTTCAGGTTGTAGAACTTAGTCCCCACATGAGACCTGAGAGCTGGGTGCCTTCTCTGCCTCCCAAGTTCCTCATCCCTACAGGGCAGGATTGCTGTGTGGTGGAGGTGAAATTGTTCTACCACGATGCCCGCACGTTACAGGTTTGCAAGACGTGGTAAAATTTCTTCCTATTGCTTCCGCCTTTGCCTCGCAATTTTGTGCTTTTCTGTAAAGGTCCCAGGTGACCCTGGCTAAGCAAAACACCAGTTCATTCAGTTTCCCCCAGGATAGGCCTGGAAATGTCCTCTGTTGAGAATGTGGGTTGGAGGCATGAAGTATTCCTCCTAAAAGCTGCTGTCTTCTAGATCCAAAGGAAGAAGTCCATGTCTGGGTTATCACAAAAGACCCACAACGTGGGGAATGAAGCCCAGGGATTTCTCGGCTTTGTGGGAACCCCTGGACAGGGGCAGCTTGAGAATGAGAGGGACTCGAGGGTCTTTTCTGACTCTTGACTTGAATCAGGTCACCTTTATGCTGAGTAGTTCTATTAAATGATTTGAGGTCAGCACAAGGTTTCTGGGTCCTGATTCATGGAAAAAAATGTAAACTATGCAACCTGTTTTTCAACCTGTGACTTACTAAACAATATAAACCTTAAAGTTTGGGCTTCATTTTCCCAGGAAAACAGCGTTCTTTGTTTCTATGAGTCTAAAGACCACAACAAGAGAAGTGGATCATTCTGGAGCATTGCTTTTCGTTTTAAGAAACCACAGTCAGTGCTCATGAAAGGAACGAGGCTTATGTATAAGAGACATGTAATTGGTAGGAAAGGATAAGAGCAGTGTTGAGGAATGGATTACAAACATCACGTTCGGTTTCTAGATGCTGGTCTTCACTTCTCTTTGTACCCGATTTGCAGGAAGTCAGGAGTGCCTTGTGGAATACAGAGTACAGGCCAGCTTCAGATATCGTCCTGGAAATATTTGGATACTTGGAGGGTTGGATGTTGAGGGATGCTTTCTGTTTGTTTCCCACAAGCTCAGGAGAATGAGAACAAATCCTTTCTCTGGAGCAGGCGTCCTGTCCCATCCACTAGCTCTGAGGCCTCCAGTGGAGCCCCACATGCCCTCCCTCTTCCCGATGGTGCTTTGCAAAACAAAAACTTGCCCTTTGACCTGTCCTAAATTATCTTTGCCTTGTGTCACTTACAACAATAAACATATCACCCAGAAAGTCTCTCTGTCCCTGCCAAGGCCAGAATAACAAAATCATTCATGTTAAGATATGGCCGAAGTGGAAGAATGAAGATACTGAAAGAATTTCCAAAACAACTTATTAATGATTGTAAGAGCCTTAAAAAGAAAAGTGGCAGGATCATGGTTACCCATGGGAAGAAAAAAGAACAGAAGTGCTTCTCTCCTCTCCTTTATTTCCTTCCCCAGAAAGAGGACTAAGGGACGGATGAGCAGAAGGCATCTCTTCTCTCCCCCGTCCCTCAGTCTCATCATTTCTCAGCCCTGTGCCTACCCTGCTGGGCACATTTTCATAGGCTGAAAAAAAAATACCTATGCCCCTGTCAGGATGCCCCCCTTTTTTTTTGAGCTTTGGTGGGCTTTTATTGACATAAATTAACAAAAATCGAGATTGTACCAACCATCTTTTCTGAACTTTATAAACTCAGCAGAGACTCTGGCCCATATCTGAATACATACAGTAAAACTGTTCCCCACTGGGAAATGTAGAGTTCTTGTCATCTAGGCTCTCTGCCAGAGGATGCTGGGGAAAGGATGGGTCAGCCCTGTGTCTGCACACCTCTGTGTCTGTGTGGATTGTCATCCTTCTGCCCTTAGAACTCTTGATTATTAGAATGTCCGACCCACTTACCTATCTAAAGGCTGACCTGGCTTAGTTTCTGAGTTGGGGGCTGCCACCTGCTGCATGAAAAAGTCATGTGGCCCGTGGCTTGGCTAGGTTTGGCGATTAAGCTCAGACACAAAAAACACCTGGTTTCTGGAAAGGTTATCATCCCAGCATGAGGCATGATTACAGCTACACACAACTCTTACTGACTGTAAATCTCGGGCATTTACAGCAGGTATCATGAGGTGAATGCTTGTGCTTTTCAGCCCTTCTTAACGTCGAACTGTTTCTTGCTGCCCTGAGTAATTCTCTCACAGAGGATCTGCCTTTAGTTCGGGTAGACCTGAGATCAGTTTACGAATAAGAGGTTTGTACTTCAAGCCTCATTTCCCCTTAGGCATGTCACCATGTAAAACAGTTGGGCCCCATTTTGGGACATTATTTTGTTAGCTAAGTGAGATCCCTAAAGATGGGCAAAGTGACAGCCTCAGAAAAAAGAGGTGAGTCTTCAAGATGGTGTTAGACCTTTATTCTTAAAGGGAGAGGGGCCGAGGGTAGGGTGAAATGGAGGTGCAGAGGGGGAGGACGGAATCGGGTTCACCCCGATGGGTTTGACTGCAGGGAAGAGGGCAGAAAGTTGGTGGCACAGATCCTTCCTGTGTTGACAAGACTCCTTGGTAAATAGGAGTGTAAGGGGGAAGAGCTAAAAGTGAAAGGGCTTTTAGAAAAGCCAGGAAAGAAGCAAGATGGTAGTAGGCTTGAGTCTTTTCCTACTTATTGAATATTACACATTTCCTGTTCAAATACATATTTCTCTACTCACAGCTATCCCAGTGCGGGTATACTTCCTCACCTCTATAGATTGGACCTGAGAATTAAGACATGCACTAAAAGGTCTCGGCACTAGACTTGCTTGGGTAGTTTAAGAGCCTTTGATGTGCATCTTTGATTAATTTGGGGGACATTTTGGCTGTTCTTTCTTTAAGTATTTTTTCTGTACCCAAGGCTCTGTTCATTTCTTTCCCCCAATTTTTTTCTCTCTCTATCCTTCATATTGGAGAGCTTCTATTCAACCATTTTCAAGTTCACCGATCCTTTCTTTCTTCCTCTATTTCCATTCTGCTATTAAGCCCATCCAGTGAGTGTTTTATTTTAGATGTTGTGTTTTTCAGTTTTAGAATTTACATGTGGTTCTTTTCATGTATAGTTTCTCTTTCTCTTCTGTGATTCCCTGCCTTTTAATTCACTGTGACCTTATTTTCCATTTTGCAACAAAGCATAGTGAAAATAGCAGCTGTCTAATCCTTGCCTGCTAGTTGCAACATCTGGGTCAGCTTGGGGCTGGTCTTCATGATTATCTTTTTTTTCCCTTGACAATGCGTCACATTTTCTCTGTGTATGTCAAGAAATTTGGATTGATCCTGTACATTGCTTTTTTTTTGGATTGTGTTTTTTAATTTTTTTAACATCTTTATTGGAGTATAATTGCTTTACAATGTTGTGTTAGTTGCTGCTGTATAACAAAGTGAATCAGCTGTACGTATACATATATCCCTATATCCCCTCCCTCTTGCGCCTCCCTCCCTCCCTCATTATCCCACCCCTCTAGGTGGTCACAAAGCACCGAGCTGATATCCCTGTGCTATGCGGCTGCTTCCCACTAGCTATCTATTTGACATTCAGTAGTATATATATGTCCATGCCACTCTCTCACTTTGTCCCAGCTTACCCTTCCCCCTCCCCATGTCCTTAAGTCCATTCTCTACATCTGCGTCTTTATTCCTTTCCTGCCCCTCGGTTCATTAGAACCATGTTTTTTTTTAGATATGTATGTATGTTTTTTAGACATGTATGTATGTTAGATAGATATGTATGTTAGCATATGGTATTTGTTTTTCTCTTTCTGACTTACTTCACTCTGTATGACTGACTCTAGGTCCATCCACCTCACTACAAATAACTCAGTTTCATTTCCTTTTATGGCTGACTAATATTCCATTGTATATTTGTGTCACCTCTTCTTTATCCATTCATCTATTAATGGACACTTAGGTTGCTTCCATGTCCTGGCTACTGTAAATAGTGCTGCGATAAACATTGTGGTATGTGTCTCTTTCTGAATTATGGTTTTCTCAGGGTATATGCCCAGTAGTGGGATTGCTGGGTCATATGGTAGTTCTATTTTCAGTTTTTTAAGGAACCTCCATACAGTTCTCCATACTGGCTGTATCAATTTATATTCCCACCAACAGTGCAAGAGGGTTCCCTTTTCTCCACACCCTCTCCAGCATTTGTTGTTTGTAGAGTTCTTGATGATGGCCATTCTGACCGGTATGAGGTGATACATCATTGTGCTTTTGGTTTGCACTTCTCTAATGATTAGTGATGTTGAGCATCCTTTC